AATCCAACATGGTGGTCAGTGAAATGCTCAAAGCGTTACAACTCATCAGTCACAAAAATGTGAAAATGAGGCAGACAACACCACTTCCACGTGCACGTGCACAGTGTGGCCTGAGGAGAAGCAGGGGGACGGTGTTGTGGAGGGAGGAGGGGAGGGGACTGCATGGTTGGAGGGACACAGGGTGTGGGGGACAAGGCTGTATATCGTGACCCCATTGCTGGGTACCTGGGCACCCTTAGAATCATCTCTTAAATGGTCTGTGTTGCTTTCTGCATCCCAAATACACGTGACCACTCACCAAACAGACCCAGCCCCAGGCACCAGGGGCTGGGGAGGGGGCCATCCCTACAGTAACACCCAGTTGTCAGGGCCCAGGACCCCATAGTGACAGTGGCTGTCCCAGACTCCCCTGGACCCCCTCCCCCACCTCAGTGATGCCCACAGTCAGAATCATGGCTACAACACGTGTCATATCCATGCCCTTTAATGAGGATCAGTGCCTGCTCTGGGAAGGCAGAGCGCAGGGCAGGGGACAGAGGTGGGGAAGGATGCCACCTGGGCAAGAAGCAGTGGTGTAGGGACTGGATGAGGCTGGCTTCTCTGCAGACCCAGGTGGCAGTCCCAGGGACAGACTCAAGGCTCCTCGGGAACATACCGACGGATCCAGTCCAGGTAGTAGGTGACACGGGTGTAGATGCCGGGCCTGTTGGGCTGGGCACAGCCATCGCCCCAGCTGACCACACCTGCCTGCAGCCAGGTGCCATTGACCTTGCAGACCAAGGGCCCTCCGGAGTCACCCTGGGGAGGAGAGGGGTCAGTAGTGGTTCTCGAGGCCAAGACTTATGGGGCTTTGGGGAGGACACGGGCCCACCTGGCAAGAATCCTTCTTCGTGTTCCCGGCACACATCATGTCATCACGAACGATCCGCACATTGTCCTCCGTGTACAAGCCAGTGTGATATTTTGAGTCACAAATGCTGTTTTCTACAATAGGAACTTTCACCTGCTTCAGAGGGAACGGAGGTGGGAGGGATTCTGGGGGTGAGACAAGAGCATGCAACATCAGGATGCTGGTGGTCATTAGCCTGAGTCGGCCCATGAGGACCTTGTCCCCCAAATGGAACCCCAGAGCTGAGTCATAGGGGTGGCTGGTCCCTGCTCCCCCAAGCCCTCCAGCTCTCCCTGATGCTTACCTCCACTGTTTATGTCACCCCAGCCTGTCACCCAGCATGGAGTCCCTGGGGGGAAAGTCTCTGAGGCAGGGGGCAGAGTAACCAGCTGGACTTGGCAGGAGATGTTCACAGGGTCCTCGAGCTCCAGCAGGGCAATGTCAAACCCCGCCTGGATGGCGTAGTACTCAGGATGCACGATGATCCGGCTGATGGGCAGTAGCTTGTCACGATAATACAGGTGCTGTTCCCGCAGCTGCACCCTCAGGTCTGTGGGATTTTTGAAGTCCCTGGAGAGAGGGGGTACCTACTCAGGGGGCAGGGCAGCCTCCTGGACACCAAGGAATGTGGGTGAAGCCCCAGGCCTGCCCTCACCCACCAGGCCCCATGGTCACTCACGGTCCAACGCAGTGTGCTGCAGTCAGCACCCACTGAGGGTGGATGAGGGAGCCCCCGCAGAAGTGTTCCCAGTATTGATGTTTGACTCTCAGGCTCACTTGCCAGGGCCACTTGCTGCCAGGGGCCTCCTTCCCTCCCACGATGTTCACTCGCTCCAGGGCCTGGCGTGGGGCTGGGGCAGGAAGCACTCTCAGGACAAGACACAGCCCAGCCCCACACAACCCTGGGCTTCTGTCAACCCACCTGCCCATCGTGGAGCTTTTGGGGTGCGGAAGAAGGGGCAGGGCCAGGGCCAGCCAGGGTTAGAACTCACCAGGGGCCATGTGGACTGGGCTCAGCAGGAGAGGCAGTGCCAGCACCAGCAGATTCAGCATCTGGAAAGAGAGAGGCTGGGGGCTGGGCCAGGCCAGGGTTTACAGAGTGTGGGGTGCAGATGGAGTCGGGGACTCCGGGATCAGGGATCGGTCCAGGCCTGGGGTCTGAGGTCTTGCTTCTCCAGATCTGAGGATCAGTGACTCACTGCATGGTGACACCCAGATGTTGGGGTCTGGCGTGGGGTGCTTACCTTGGCTGGTCCCTGCTGCTTTGCCCCAGTCTGCTCTCCCCTCCCCATTTATCCTTCCAGGCCATCAGAGGGTTAGAGGAGGGGTGCTCCATCCTCCAATCCAGAGCGGAGGAAGCAGATGATTCAGACCCAGGGCCCAGATGTGCCTTCCGGAGATGGCAGACCCGATTCCTTGGGTGGTCCGACCATGTCCATCTCCAGGCATTATCCGAGCGGTTCTGCTGATTACAATGGAACCTTGTTATCTCGGGATCTGAGTGCCATCAGCAGAGGGACAAGGGAAATGGAAGTGACAGTGAGATAACAAGTAGCCAGTGACAGCTCCCCTTGGACACTGCCCCCACCGGGCCCTACCACCTCTGGCTCCTGACCTCCACAGCCAGGGCTGACCACTGTCCCTGCCTGTCCATCCACCCCATCTTCTCACTGTCTTCTGGGCCTGCTGGTCACTGAGACCTACAGCTCACCTCCCTAATCATGGCCCTCCTGAACTGTCTGCATTCCCCACTGCCATCCAAATCAATATCAAAAATGAGGTCAAGGACATGGTCAGAGACAAGAACCATCTGACAGAAGCAGGTAGAAGGATTTCTGGAGCACACAAAGGGCTGTGAATATTTCATATTCCTCTCAGCCAACTTTTATTTGGGTTGGCTGCTTTCTTATCAGTGAGTTTTACGAATTCTTTGTGTATTTGGATAACAGTTCTTCATCATATATGTGTTTTGCAAAGAATTTCTCACACTTTTCATTCTCTTAACAGTAGCTCTCAAGAGTAGAAATTTATAATTTTTATGAAGTCAATCTAATAATTTTTCTTTCACAGATCACGCCTTTGGTATTCAATCCAAAATTTATAACCAAACCCGAGGTCATTTAGGTTTTCTCCTATGTTATCTTCTAGGAATTTATACTTTTGCATTTACAATTAGGTTTATGATCCATTTTGATTTAATTATTTATGAAAGGTCTGTGTCAAGATTCATATATTGCATGTGAGTGTCCAGTTGTTGAACACTATTTGTTAAAAAGACAGTCTTTTCTACATTGAATTGCCTTTGCCTCTTTGTCAAAGGTCAGTTGATTATTTGTATGGGTCTACCTCTGGGCTCTCTATTTTAGTTCATTGACCTATGTTTTCTTTCATCAATATATCATTGGTTTATAGTAAGTCTTAAAATTGGGTAGTATCAGTCCTCCAACTTTGTTCTTCTTATTCAATATCATGTTGGCTATTATGTGTTTTTTGCCTTTTCACATAAACTTTAGAATCAGTTTGTTGATACCCACAAAATAACTTGCTGGGGCTTTGATTGGGGTTGTTATGAATCTATGATCAAGTTGAGTAGATACTACATCTTAATAATATCATCTTCCTTCTCATGAACTTGGAAATCTCTCCATTTATTTAGATCCTTGATTTCTTTCAGCAGAGTTATGTACATAGACTTGTACATATTTTGTTAGATTACTTTTAAGTACTTCATTTGGGGGATGCTAATGTAAATAGTATTGTGTTTTTAACTTCAAATTCCAATTCTTCATTGCTGGTATATAGCAATATGTATAACAATTGACTTTTACCATTAACTTTATATCCCGAAACCTTGCTATAGTACCATATTAGTCCCAGGAATTTGTTTGTTTTTGTCTGTTCTGTGATTTGTACTTTATTCCCTTTTTTAAAATTTTATTCCCTTTTTATTGCTGAGAAGTATTCCACTATAATGAGGATAGTCTCCTGTTTTGTTCTAGAAGCTTAATAGTGTCAATGCCCACATTTCACATAAATACATCTTGAATTAATTTTTGTGTATAATGTAAATAGGGGCCAAGTTTCACTTTTCCCCATACACTTATTGGTCCAGCACCATTTATGAGAAAGGCCACCGGTTACCCTTTCAATATCAGTGACATTATTGTCATAAATCAAGTGGTTCTGTAATTTTTGAATCTATATCTAGACTCTGTTCCATTCCTTTTATCTCTGTGTACATCTTGTCCCAATACTGCACTGTCTTAATTATTATTATTCTATAGTAAGTCTTAAAATTGGAAAGGTTAAGTTCTCCATCATTGTTCTTTTTCCTCTAGATTGTTTTGGCTATTCCAAGTCCTTTACCTTTTCATATTAACTTTAGAATCAAAATGTCAATTTCTGCAAAAAGTAAGACTGCTGGGATTTGGATTGTATGATCTATAAATCAATATGGGGAGAAACAATATCTTTACAGTCCACATTTCTTTCAGAAATGTTTCGTAGTTTTTGGTGTAGAGACCTTGCACACCTTTCATTAAATTTATGTCTCATGTTTGATTTTTTTAATTCTTCAGCCAACAGTGTTATGTTTATTTTTCCAATCATTGCTAGATATTTAGAAGTACAATATTTTTTTGCATATTGATTTTGTATCTCACGGCCTTGCTAAATTCACATAATCCTGTGTTGGTAGACTACTTAGGCTTTTCTATGTGCATAATCAAGTCACCCATGAATAAAGCAGGCTTATTTTTGCCTGAGCCTAGCTTCCTCTAGAGTCCTACAATTCCCTGGGTCTCCACCAAAGGGAACCCTGGTACTCCCCTTAGCACCTGCTGGGAGGAGCTGGGCAGAATGGGGAGGGGACTGGGATGCCTCTTCCACCCACTCCTTACCTGCCCACTGGGTCAGGGTCACGGAGCCTGGGTCTGACTGGGACCACAGGCCTGGGACAGTGACCCTCTGAGGATCAAAGCAGGCGCTGCGGGGGTGGGCATGGGGTGAAAACAGAGTGGACTGGGAGTGCTGGGTTAGCAGACTCCTGAGTGTGACCATGGCAAGTGATTGTAACACCCCCCAACCTCAGATTCCCCACCAGAAGACACTGAGCTGGACCAGAGTCAGGGCTGCTGCAAGGAGTCTTCCTTCAGGCCCAGCATGTATCCTGTGCCCTGGGTGCGCTTTCAGGAGGAGAGAGGAAGTCATGGATCAAGGGTTAGAGGGAGGGAAAGTGGACCCAGGCTCTGTGCAGAGGCAGCAACGAAGTTGCAGCCCCACCTCAGCCTACCATGTCAGCTTGCAGCCAAAACCTGTGTACCCGGCAGACAAGAAGCCCTCCTGAGTCATCCTGAGTTCAGAGTGGAGTGAGTACCAAAATGCCGGGGAGTTAGGGAGCCCTCATCTTCCACCTTGCCCCTCTGGGCTCACCTGGCAGGAATCCCCAGATCCCTGGGCCAGGGTAGTCCTGGCTGCAGGTCTCTGTGTTCACAATGGTGGACTTCCACCTCCTGCAGGATGTATGGGGGCTGCAGAGATTCTAGGGGGACAGGCTGCAGGAGAAGTGAAGGCACCAGCCCTTTACTGTAGGAGTTGCCCAGAAATAAACCCTCACATGGTGACCTTACACATGTGGATCATATGCTGAGACTTTGGTGATTTAATATAAAGCTGCAATAATCAAGAGAGTGTGGTATTAGTATAGAATAATGTATAGGTCAATGAAACAATAGTCCAGAAAGAGACCCACATAAATGACCAATTATTTTTAAGAGAGAAACTTTCATAAGTTTCTGGAACAATTGTGTAATCTGTGTAGGAAAAAACATAAGCCTTGATACTTGCCTCATAATACACACAAAAAATCAATTCAGAATGGATCATAGATTTAAATGTAGATGTTAAAACTATAAAGATCTAGGAGAAACCACAGCAGAAAATCTTCACAATCTGAAGGAATGCAGAGGGGACTAAGAAAAGAAAAACATGATAAATAGGACTTTATCAAAATTTAAAACTTATACTGAGTGACACTATTAAGATAACGAAAGTATAGTCTACCGACTGGAAGAAAAATATTTGCGATACATGTATCTCGTAAAGGGCTTGCATCCAAATTAAGGAAGGAGGAAAGGAAGGGAGGGAAGGAGGGAGGGAGGGAGGGAGGGAGGAAGGGATAAAAAGAAAAAGAATTCATAACTCACAAGAAGACACTCGACCTAATTAAAAAGTGGATAACAGATTTGTGCTGACAGTTCATCAGAGAAGTTGTATGAATGACCAGGAAGCTCATGACAAGATGTTCATCCTGCTTATTCATCAAGAAACTGCAGACTAGAAGGGACACTGCTATATATCCATTAAAATGGCTACAATGTTTCAGGCTCTGCCCACTCTTCTTCCTCTCCCTCCCTTTCCTTCTGAACCAAGCAGCCCAAAGCCTAGAGTAGGTGAGTTCTGATAGGTGCCTGGTTGGGAGTGGTGCTGGGGGCTGTGCTGGCCCAAGTTGGGGTTAGAGTCCACTGGTGGGGAATTGGCCAAATAAGTCAATGAATTAAGAATGAGAATCAGGTCTTACATGCCCTAGAGGGCAGGCAAATATGGAGAGGAAGAAACTGGAATAAACTCTGTGGTATGGGGTTGGGATTGGGATTGGGGAAGGCTCATGTTTCAATATAAATACAGAATTATAGATGTGGTGTGTGTGCATGCATGTGCATATACTACTATGTCCATGCATGTACTCTCTGTGTGTGCATTGTGTACACACGTGTGTATGTATATGTGTGTTCACATGTGTCTCTTGTGTGTGAGTGTGTGTGCATGTGTGTGAGTGTGCATGTGTGCACACACATTCCCTAGTCTGTCTCAGTGAAACCCTAGAGCAAGCAGCAGCACCTTCAACTGGATTTTGAGTCTGTGTACAGTTTGCCCCTGAGAGGAGCTAGGTCCCCTGAAGAAGAGACTAGAATGGGAAAGTACAGAAGGGTTGGGAATAACCTTGTGCACAGAAATAAAGAGAGGTGAAGACCTTCACAAAAAGACTTAAACAATGATGT